CACACTGGCTGCAGCCTGGGGTGGGCATGGCCCAGGAGGGGTATGGGGGGTCTCTGAGATGCTCAGCAGTGCCCACCAGCCTCTAGCTGTCCCAGGCCCTCACCTTCAAAATTCAGCGGGATGTGGCCAACACACAACACAACCTTGCCCACTTGCCCCCCCTTTTGGAGAGGGGATGAGCCCACTGCCCATTTAATTTCAATTAGCGTTTTGATTTTTTGGAAGCCCATTGCCAAACACTCCCCCTGTTTTTTCATCAGCTGGAATGTTCCCTGCCAGAACACATGGGGTAAAAAGAAAACAAACAACACCCAAGTGTCTGGCCCAGCCAGGCACTGCATGTGAAGTTTCTCCTCCCTTTCCTCACTGTGATCCTCAGTGATTTTGGGTGGTTTATTCATTTTTTGGGGTGGGAAGCAGCAGTTTTCCAGCTACAGTTCAGCCTTAGAGCCAGCAGCCCAGTGCAGGGAGCTGCCCTGGGTTTGCAGGGTGCTGGTTATTGCTGCAGCTCTGGGGAGAAGTGAAACTTCTGGGAGTGTGATGAGGAGCAGGATGGGCCAAAACCGCAAAAAAGGGCTTTTTTCTAAACTTGGAGCAACCCCGTGACATGTCTGGGTGCTGCAGCTGCCCCTGACCACTTGCATTCTCTGTGCTGCCATAAAACCCTTCCTGAAGGCTGGATGGTCGCCGTGGAGATACTCATCTCATCCTGCTCCAGAGAGTGCTGGATCATATCTGGGCTTCTCCAGGCTTTATCTATCAGCTCTGCTGGGAGCAGCATCCCCATCCCTGAGCCCAGACCCCCTTTTCCCCCATTTCCCTGCATTTAATCCAAGCAAAAATTATGAAATGTCTGTTTGGTGGAGGAAGGGAAGCTAGTATTGCTTAGGGCATCCTGCCCCCTGGCTTTTTTTTTCCAGCTTGTCTTTAATTAACCCTGGCAGTGATGATGAATCAGCCCAGTTTCCACCCGTGACACCAGGAAGGGACTTGCTCACCCCGTGGCTCACTGGGATGGCTGCTTGAGGAGGGGGAAGCACTGCTTGGTGTTCCCCATAAAACTCAGCTGACCTTTTCAAGCCGCATCCTGGGCTATTTTGGGGGGGGTGGTCACCTCCTGACTGGCTTGGCTGAGGGGGTTCAGGTCACCAATCTGGCAGAAGAGTCCCACTGGGTGCTGAGGCCCCCAACCTCTGTCCCCATCCCTGTCCCACCAACCCTGAGCTCTCCGCTCGCTCCCTCCCGCAGCTATCGGGGACTGACGCTGGTGCTGACCTTCCTCTGCTACACCAGCTACCACCTCTCCCGAAAACCCATCAGCATTGTCAAGGTGAGCATCAGCCCCACCCCAGCTGTGGGGACAGAGGACCTGGAGAGGGGATGTGGGGCTGTGGGGTGCTGGCAGCACCCCAGTTTCACCTCCTCTCTCTCCCTGCAGAGCCAGCTGCACCCCAACTGCTCAGCCTTCGGCCCACACCCTCGCAATGTCTCCAACAGCAGCACGTGGTGCAGCTGGGCACCCTTTGGTAAGGCTGAGCCACCCCAGGCACCCCAAAACCTACGCTCCTGGCAGCTGAGCTGGGCTCCCCCCGTGCCCTAAAGCCGGGTCGTGGCCAGGGTTTGGCAGGGGGCCTGCTGCTCATAAGGCACCCGGAGGTAATTAAGCAGCGAGCTCTGCCCCATGCCCCCAGGCCAAAGGGCACCAGTGCCTGGTGGAATGTAGGACAAGACAGGACCAGTTCCCTACACTGATGGCACCTGGCCATGCTCCCAGAAACTCCCACGGGGACAAGACTTTTGGGGACAGGGGACAAGACCAAGCCAGCAGTCATGGGGAGGGGTCACAAGATGGGGGCCAGGCTGAGGTGGCCCTAATATTTGTTTTCCAGATCAGGACAACTACAAGGAGCTTTTTGGGGCCCTGGATAATGCCTTCCTGGTGGCCTACGCCATCGGGATGTTTATCAGGTACCCAAGGCCTTTGCACCCCTTTCCCTCCACACACCAGTTTGCACCAGTGTGCCAGGAAACTGGTTTCCCTCGGGATGCAGTTATGGGAAAGCAGTCGGAGATCCTCTCAGGATTTGGGCTCGGGCTCAGTGTGATAGTGCCCGTTGGTGGCATCACCCATGACAGCTCCTGTTGTGCTCTTCCCTCTCTCTGCAGTGGCATTTTTGGGGAGCGCCTCCCCCTGCGCTACTACCTGTCGGGGGGGATGGTGCTGAGTGGGCTCTTCACCTCACTCTTCGGCCTCGGCTACTTCTGGGACATCCACGTCCTCTGGTACTTCATCGTTGTGCAGGTGTGTCATGCCAGAGGATGCCCGGGCTTTACCACTATGGCCTCATCCCAGTTTTTCAGTGACCTTCCGGGATCGGAGTGGCCCAGTTTCTGAGTGGGGAAACGCCAAGTGTTTCCACTCCCCACAAAACCCGGCTGTGGTGTGGGCGTCGAAACCGCCGGGTGTGCCCGTCTCCAGGCAGTGCGGGCAGCCGGTTTGGCAACACCAGCCGCTCCCAGATTAGCCATGGGAATGATGGGAATGGCTCCAGGATTGCCCCAGCAGGGAAAAAGCCCAGACCAAGTGTTTTCTCAACAGCTTTGGGATGGGAGTGGCTATTTCTGAGCCCGGTTGCCCACGAAGCAGTGCGGGGGCTGCGCTCTGTGGCTGGAGTCGGTGCTTCCTGGGTGATGCTCCCCATCTCTTGCCAGGTCTGCAATGGGCTGGTGCAGACGACCGGCTGGCCTGCCGTCGTGGCGTGCGTCGGGAACTGGTTTGGGAAGGGAAAGTGAGTTTTTTCCAACGTGTCCCACCCCAGTCCTGGTCCCTGTTGGCCCCAGCAGCCACCCCAGTGACACTGACCCCGGCTGTGTCCCCACCAGGAGAGGTTTGATCATGGGCATCTGGAACTCGCACACCTCCGTCGGCAACATCTTAGGGTCGCTCATTGCCGGTGTCTGGGTCTCCTCTGCCTGGGGCCTGTCCTTCATCGTGCCTGGCATCATCATCGCCACCGTGGGCATCATCTGCTTCTTCTTCCTCGTGGAGTGTGAGTGGTGTGAGCTGGGGCACAGCACACAACCGGTGTGACACACACACGGTTTTCCACCTTGCCCACTCCCAAGCATTTTTAGCAATCCCAAATACTTGCTTCCAGCTTGTGGCAAGCAGGAATGGGGATCTGACCACCACAGGGATGCTCAGCATCCTTTGGGGTCATTGAGGCAGGCTCTTCCCCTGTGCTAGTCACTCCCCTGAGCCTGTCTTTCTAGGAAACATTTAGGAAGTCCTTCAGGACTTTAGTGGGGTGGAGGGTACCCAGAGATGCAGCCAAGACCTAGGGGTTCCCAGTCCCTGTGAGATGCTGGAGGAAGAGCAGGTGGAGTGGGGCTGGTCCAGGCTCTCACGGGATATCCCTTCTCCCTGCAGATCCCGAGGATGTTGACTGCAGTCCGCCACTGCATCATGTGAGTCACACTGATTCCCAATGGGCTTGTCCTGGGCTGGGTGTCACTCAGGGTACAGTAAAACAACCAGGGCATCAGGTTGTAATGGCAGGAGTTAGAGCAGTGTTCAGTTGTCATGGGGGATGCTCACTGTGAACATCCTTGGGTCACGCCCTGGCAGCGAATCCAACCTTTCAGCCCCTTCCAGCCAGGAGAGCCACATCTCCTGCTCATGGCTTGCTTTTAGATGGCCTCTGATGAGGATCCTGGGGGAGTGACCACCAGTGAGAAGGATCCTGAGGCAGTCACCTCCAACGAGGGCCCGCTCAGCCTCTCAGGCCAGAGCAGTGTGGATCACTCCAACAGCCCCAAGGAGCCAGCTGAGGAGCCCGAAGCCATCAGCTTCCTCGGAGCGCTCCGGATACCCGTGAGTGGTGGGATGGAGGAAAGAGCAAAGCCAGGGCAGCTCAGCCCATCAGTAGAGTGTCCACAGGGTGGAAAACTGGGGAAAACCCCACTGTTTAGAGGAGTTCAAGAGAAGGAGGCTCCCCTGATATCCCCTCCTCTCCTCCCAGGGTGTGGTGGAGTTCTCCCTGTGCCTGCTCTTTGCTAAGCTGGTGAGCTACACCTTCCTGTACTGGCTGCCCCTCTACATTGTCAACGTTGGTGAGTTTTGGGGACAGCAAGGCAGGAGAGAGCCTGGCTAGGGAGCATCTCCTCACCCCTCTCCTCTCTCTCTCGCAGCTCATTTCGGCGCCAAGGAAGCTGGGGACCTGTCGACCCTCTTTGATGTTGGGGGTATTTTAGGTTCGTCACGTACCTGACCGGAGGGAGTGGATCAGGAATGATTTAGGGACAATCCTGGCCTTGACCAGCCTTGGCTGGTCCCCTTCACAGGCAACACCATTCCTTTCCCCAGTGAGGTTTATTCAGCATTCATAGCGCTCAGCAGGCAGCAAATGCCCCTCAATTTTATTTTGCCATCCAGGTGACCACAGCAGCCCCTTTCCTCGGGTCTCACTTACTCAGACACTCCTTTTCCTTAGATAAATAAAACATTTTGCAAGTGTGGAGGAGACCAGAGCTGCACTGAGGTGCTGAGAAACCATCTGCAGGGAAGAAACGGCAGGGATAAATCAAAGGTCTTCACTCTGATATTATTATATTTAACCTTGAGGGCACACTGGTCAGAAGATGGGCGATGAAAGAGCATCCCGTTGGATTTCGGGCTAAGCCAGGGTGAAGTTTGGCCTTTGGGGTGGTGTGACTGGCACCTCTGACTCCTTCTTGCAGGGGGGATCTTCGCCGGCCTCGTCTCTGACTACACCGGCGGCAGAGCCACCACGTGCTGCGTGATGCTGGTCGTTGCTGCTCCCATGGTGAGCTGTCACATGGGGACAAAACCCCGTCACGAGGGTTTCCCCTCCTCTGGCTCCTTTGAGTCACGGCTGCCTTTCCTCTTCCCAAGCGCCCGGGATGAGCTGGTCACGCGCTCGGCTGACATGAGAGCTGGGATTGATCCACGAGCCCAGATGTTCCCAGGGAGGACGTCCAGCTCTAGGGACTGGGAGAGGGTTGCAGAGAGCTTAACAACTAAAAAAGCCCTTTAGGGTTTTTTTTTCCCCTCCATCCTGCCGTAGCCCTGCTCAAAAAGCCTTGTCTCTTTGATTTTCATCCCAAAAGCCCCCACGCCGACGGCCTCATGCTCCGCTGGAGCTTGGCCCGGATGTCCTTCCCGAGCACCTGCACAGAGCTCATTTGGCTTCGCTGCCACAAAAACATGGCTAATTAGCTGTAATCCAAGCCCGGCTGGCTGTGGGACGGGAGCCTCTCCTGGCCGAAGGAGCTGGCGCACGCTGGGAAGCAGACAGGCCGCGTCACGTCCGCGGCCCCCATAGCACCGTCGGGGCAAATTAGCGTCTGGCTGCAGCCGGCGGGAGGCGGCGGAGCCTCGCCGGCCATAAATCGTGGCAGCACCTCGGTTTGCCAGCTGCCAGGTATTTCATCTGGCAGGCAGCCGGCGGGATGTGGAGGTCAGGGGCGCCCTCAGCCCCCCTGTCACAGCCGGCGCTGGGTGCCAGCAATAATTCAGGTCCCCGCATTCTCCGTCCCATCCCCAGGGTGCAAGCTGCAAGGAAAGTGCTTGGGAAAACAGCTGGAATAGCTGTAACTTGTTCACCTGGTGTCTCTTTTCCAGCTGTTCCTGTATAACCACGTTGGCCAGAATGGCATTGGCACATCAATAGGTAAGGAGCTCCATGGCACAGCCGGGCTCCCAGGCTGGGATTTGGGGGACGGTGGGGTTGGATGAGTGTTCACTGACTGCTGGGTGGAATCTCCGTGGGAAAATGGAGATGGATACATGGGACAGTGATGCCAACACGTGGGCCAGGGATGATGGATCCAACATCCTGCTGCTCCCTGCACCTAAAGGTTTAATCTCTTCCCGGGTCCCTCTGCAGCGATGCTGGTCATCTGCGGTGCTCTGGTTAACGGGCCCTACGCGCTCATCACGACAGCGGTGTCGGCAGATCTGGTAAGAGCTGCACCTCAGACCCTGCCATGCTGCCCTTGCACACCCAAAGGCTGCTCCCTCCTTCCAGAGGGATGTTTTGATGGGGTTTTTGTATTTTAACTTTGTTTTCCAATGCCTCCAAAGCCCAGTGGAGAAGGGCAGGGCTGTCACACCTGCTGCTGTGCTCTGCATCCTGCAGCTTTTTTTTCCTACTGCTTTTTCACCTTGGCCGCATGACTGTGTTTCAGCCATCGCTGCATCTGCCTCTGAGCACAAGCAGAGTGGAAAAATTTGCTGGGAAATCACCTGGCAATTCCTGTCCACTGCTGGCAGTCCAGGCTTTGCCATGGTTTGGCTGCAGGCAGCATCTGAGTTTGGTCTTCCCGTCCACGGCTGGGTCTGACACATGGAAATTCCTGCCTGGGATGTTGGCCTCATGCTGGGACTTGCCAGCTGGGGACCCCGAAGCTTCTTTTGCTCCTCATGTTTCATTCCTTCGTCCTTGCAGTCCAGGCTTTGCCATGGTTTGGCTGCAGGCAGCGTCTGAGTTTGGTCTTCCCGTCCACGGCTGGGTCTGACACATGGAAATTCCTGCCTGGGATGTTGGCCTCATGCTGGGACTTGCCAGCTGGGGACCCCGGAGCTTCTTTTGCTCCTTATGTTTCATTCCTTCATCCTTGCAGGGAACCCACGAGTCTCTCAAAGGAAACGCCAAAGCCCTTTCGACTGTCACGGCCATCATTGATGGCACAGGATCCATCGGTGTGTACGGCTGGGGGTGCCAGTGCTGGGGGTCCCTGTCCCCTCCCAGCTGTGAACAGGGCATCTCCTAATGTGGCTCTGTGCCCCCGCAGGTGCTGCGCTGGGGCCGCTGCTCGCAGGGCTCATCTCTCCCACGGGCTGGAACAACGTCTTCTACATGTTGATAGCAGCCGACGTCCTGGCCTGCCTGGTAGGTCCCTCCTCAGCAGGATGCTTTGGCTACCCTGGAGATTCACAGGCTCCCTTTTAGCTGGCCACTCCCTGGTGGAGGGCAGGGATGATCCTCAGGAGACAGCCAGGCACAGGGCAAACTGCAAAGGCTTGTATCCACTCCAAACCTCTGCCTCCATTCACCTGGCTTTTCCCAACAACCTCCTCCTCGCACGGATTTAATCCATGTGACCTTTGCTAGGGAGAGCCGTAGAACTGATCTCCTGGTGAGGGAAACACTGAGGCCGAGGCTGGTGGCTGCAGAGCCACCCGCCTCCCAGCCATCCTCCACCTTCCCTCTTGCAGCTCCTTGCTCGTGTGGTGGTCAAAGAGGTCCGTGGCTGGTGCGGCTACATGGCGAGGAAGAGAGGGTACGTACGTCCCACCCCAGGGTGGCCTCCGGTCCCACGATGCCAAAGCACGGTGTCGTTGCCGCTCCAGAAGGATGTTTGTTACCCCTTGCTGTCACTGCTGCATCTCCACGTGGGCATCGTGTCGGGCTTCACGAGGCCGTCTGCCCCGTGTCTCGCTCCCGTGGCCACAGAGACATTTCCACCTCGAGCCAGGGCAGCACTCGGGGGATTTTAACCATTGGCACCCCACAAAACTCTCAGGGTGCTAAACACACCGTCCTTGTGTCTTTGTAGCTCTAGTGTGCAGCTAACAGAGTCAGTGATGGATGGGAATTAGCTCGGTGTAAGTATCTCCGTTTGAGCCCTGAGGATTAAATGCAAACACAAGCCTGATTTGTCCTGATTCTGAGTTTCACTTGGCAGGCTCAGCCTAGAAACAGCCACTTCCCTGATCATTTAAGAGCTGAGATCAAGATTTGGGAATCAAAGGGTTAAATCACGATGGCCAGGGAGGAGAGTGCAGGGTGGGCAGCACATCTTTGTCTCCAGCTGACTTACTGGATGTTGTCCTAGATGCCTGATTGATTGGCATTGATGAACTCACTTGAAACAGCTGAATTTGTAGGCTTTACCCACCTGTGCTACTGAGCTTGATTCCACACGGTATGGGCTTGCTAATCACCGTAGCCAAATCACTGCAGCCATGGTATAAATAATCTCCAAATCAGCACTGGCTTGGCTATGATTGCCACTGACATCCCCCTGTGACACCAAGAGGGAAGGGGCTGCATCCAGTCCTGGCATTGGGGGTGCCAGACCCTGGCCCCCTGCGAACATTTGGTCCATTATGTCTTGTGTTTGCAGGTGAAAGACCAATAGTCTGGGCCTCGTGCTGTGGTAAGTGCGGCCCAAATCTCCTTCTCCGGCCGCCGGTGGAGGGCTGTCGAACTCCTCTCTCCTGTGCCGGGGCTGGTTTGGATGAGGGCTTTCCTGGAGGGGTTGGCAGCACCAAATTCCAGCTGGTTTGTGCTGGGGGAAGCAGCTGGCTCAGTTTGTGGAAATACTGCAACATCCTGAGGGCTTTGGGGAGCACCTTGTCTGTGGAGCAGCTTGCAGAGAGGAGGCACAAACACTGTGGTCTTTCTGGGGACATTTCAGCTCTGGCCAGAGACAAAATGGTGGCTGGATCTCCTCCTCGTGCCTGCTTCTCCTCCTTGTGGTGCAGATGGGGCCAGGCTTTCCCTGCAGAGCCGTTTTCCCTTCCCATCCCTCCGGCAGAGGTGCGGTGCCCATCACACATCCCAACGCGTGCCACCGCGCTCAGCCGCTCGCTTCTCTCCCCGCAGGTTTAAGGAGTTCTGACGTGCCCCCTGTGAGCTG